CATATCAACCAAAATTGTTTGCGAAAATGGCTTGCAAATGATACTTCTAGTTAAAGTATTTGCAGTTGAGTTCCTTTTGGAAGTTCTTTTGAGGCGAGTTGGAACTACCGTCATGCAAATGTCTGAACGTCTGATTGATTAATATTGTGATGAATATTGTTCCAGAGATCACAAAATGGGAAAATGTGATCTTATGAATCTGTATATGTGAAAAGTAAGAGAAACAAAATATATGTGCATACTCTGATAAGCTGTGACTATACTATGTTCACAGAATCGTGCATCTCATTATTTAACCATGTCTTGTATGTGTTTTAAACTCCCTCTGCTGAAGCATGTCAATCAGCAGGACTGTAAAACTGGCCTCTATTATGTGAGATAAATACACTTTTCCTGTTTATTTCGGCGGTCAGCTTGACAGCTGAATCCATATTGCGAGTTTTGGTGCAGGGGGATGTTAAACAGATTCGAGAGCATTAACCTAATTGCATTATCTGTGTTTTTTCCTCATTAAAAGGGGTAGAGTGCTCAACCAGTGCTACGTTATTTTCTATGACAGCTAATAGAGTTGATTTACTGTATAGATGCGATTAGTGCCAACAGATCGCTCGTTGAGTTTTTCCATCACCAGTCTCTGCAACATAAATTAAATAAACGGCTGCTACTGTTGCTATACTGCAGCCAGCATATGACAGCTGCACATGCATTCAGTCTTCAAATGCAAAAGCAATACAGCGGATGAAGCGTTTTATTAACATTCACCGCTTTAAGGCCTCTCCAAGTTTGCTTAATATGATCACATACTTGCAGATAAAGTACTCGAGCCACCAGGGCTGCTGTCAAGTCAAATCAATAGATGAAAGTCTGTGGGGTTGTGAAATGGTATTCTTCATCCTAGCAGCCCTGAATCTGCCGCGAGCTGTGGTATTTTCAGCATACTGTACTGCTTTTTAACCCTGGCCAAGTTAGTGGCTCAATGAATGCCAACGAAGACCTCCCAAAGGCAGAATATTAGTAAAAGCAGCCGAGAGTTGTAGCCTGATATGATAGGCCACTGTATAGAGGGATTGTAATTCCTGTTTTTAAATATAAATGTTTAGAAATTAAAGCTAATCAACCAGGGGCTATTAAATCCCAAATTTAGTAATGATATCAAGCATGTAGAGTTTCTAAATAAGATTATTAAACTTGTACCGGGAAACAAAGCCGTATTTACTATTTAAGTTCCTAGGCTGCTACTTTTAAGGAAAAACTAGTAATCAAATTTTTAGTTTTGCTTAATTTCTGTATATTTTCAGAACCAACTGCTGTTGGCAATTTCAAATATTATTATTTTTTTCTGTCTTAGTGGCTGGTTTGTAGCCAGAAGAAGTTGTGGACAAGACTTTATATAATAGCTATGTTAGACCACTTTCTTACAACGTACCGAGAGTTTAAGACCGTATGTTCTTGCATGCATCATTTATCTGAAGGGTTCCGTATTTTATTCATGCCTCAAAGAGAGAGGGCAAATGTGGCAGTTTTTCCAACAGTATTATACAGATAATGTTGGAAGATCGTTTGTGTTATTCCTGATGGTCTTTCCTATGGCAGATGGTGATGGAGAGCGGAGATTGGCTGGTCGGCGGTGATCTCCAGGTGCTGGATCGGATCTACTGGAACGACGGGCTGGATAGTTACAGGCTCACACCAACCGAACTCAAGCAGAAGTTTAAAGAAATGAATGCAGGTATGGAGCTACACTCAGGAGTTGCTCCTTTTGACCTAATTTTGACTAGTCTGTTGTGAGTTAAGAGTCGTCTTGCACTCAAGCTGTAGCAGGCCACATAGACATGCATTTTCTTTTATGGAATTTAATTGTATTGTCATAGACTTGTATTCCTCCATATATTGCTGCAATACAATGATATTTATGGCAAGTTATGATATATTAAACACTCTTCTCTCATTTTAAGATGCTGTCTTTGCTTTCCAACTGCGGAACCCAGTACATAATGGCCACGCGCTGCTCATGCAGGACACGCAGCGGCGTCTAATTGAACGCGGCTATCGCCGACCCGTACTTCTGCTTCACCCGCTGGGCGGCTGGACCAAAGATGACGATGTGCCACTGGCCTGGCGCATGAAACAGCATGCAGCCGTGCTGGAGGAGGGGCTGCTTGACCCCAACTCCACCATAGTGGCCATTTTCCCTTCACCGATGATGTATGCTGGCCCAACAGAGGTTAGTGTAAAATGAAAAAGGACTGAGAACAGACACCTGAGGCACTCCATTAAAATAATAACTTACGGTCAGCTGGTCATTACAATTTATTCAATTTTCTTGATTTTAGTCAACTATCTAGTCATCTATCAAGGATATTATGTTCATCATATATATAAAAATGAATACTGAAATCCCCCCAAGACCATTTACTGCAGCTGGTAGCTGTTCATTTGGAAACACCAGATGCAATTTAGCCTTGTTGCCTTTGAGATCTTCCTCTTTATGTAATTCGTAATGTATCCTATACTTGCATACTTTAGGAATTACATATTGTTTGACACATGCAATATTTTAGACAAAGAAGCTCTGTCAAATGTGCTTTGTACTAAGAATGATAATTAAAATGCCGTTTGAAGCCAATGAACTGTTGTATGGAAAGTTAGTGGTGAGGAAGCTTGCGCAGGGCACATTCCTTCATGAATCTTCGGTGGTGCACTGGATTTCTGATCCGTTCCACCTAACCTATGCTAGAGGCTAAAGACAACAGGGACAGTCTCTTCTTGTGGGCATCACGCATCTCTGGGCTTTTTCAGTATGTATTGATTTGTGTCTCCTGAAGTGGATGTAAACAGAACCTAATTGTTTAGAGGCCAGTGGCGTCCCTCTACAATCCATACGTACACACAAACAACGAGCACAAATGGGGAGCTTTCTTCTGACAAAAAATGTTGCTGGTGTAATGTTCCATGGCTATTTTGAAGTCTCTTGTTCTTTAATCATGTGGCCGGGGACATTAAAATATTTATTGGGAGCAGACAGAGTCTGTAAGACTAAAGCAGCCCACAGGAAGCACTCGTTCAACTCATTGACTTATGAGGAGAAAGTAGGGGACATGCTGACTCCACAGAAATGCATTAGCTTAGGTGGTGTAGGCCAATTATAATCAGAAGTTTCCATAAATTATATATGTTTTGACAGTTTTTTTTTTTTAAATTGTCACTATCTCTGTACCATTGAACAAAATGTTAGATTTCCATTTGGTTTACATTATCATTGTTCTGCAAATTTTAAGCACAGGATTGTTAATCAAAAAATGAAAAAAATTAAATCTGTCACCCTCTATGTATTCAGCCTCATGTTGTTCCAAACCTTTCTTTCTTTTGTGAACAACATATAAAAGAAAAAAAAAAAGGTTTTTCTGTATCTATCTTGACTTGTGCTACATTCAAATTTTTCTAAAGCCACGAAAGACCAAGATTGAGGTTAGATGCTAAAAATCTTCCCGTTGCGGGTGCTCTCAAATCTCATTCGCATGCATTTGGTTACAAGACCATTTTGTTATGCCATATTCAAATACACACAAATGTGAATGACATTTGAGAGCTATGGCAGAAGGAAAGATTTTAAGCAAATAATGGTTTATATTTCACCCTTTTTCTCGCACAAAACTCATCAACTCCAATCCCCATTCACTTTCATTGTTCCACAGACGTGAACTGGTTGAACTAACACTTAGATTAGTTTTAAAGTAAAAATAGATTAAATTTGAACTGTTTCCAACAGGTGCAGTGGCACTGTAGGGCCCGGATGGTGGCTGGAGCCAACTTTTACATAGTGGGCCGTGACCCTGCAGGAATGCCTCACCCAGACACAGGTAAAGACCTCTACGAGCCCTCCCACGGAGCTAAAGTTCTCACCATGGCCCCTGGACTCATATCACTGGAAATTGTGCCTTTCAAAGTGGCAGCCTACAATAAAGTCAAGAAGGCCATGGATTTTTATGACCCCAAAAAGTAAGTTTATATCTTTTTCCCCTTTAAATTTGCCTTCCTTTTTACTAATACAAATTAACTACACAAATTGAGCAAGACAAGCGTCTTTAAGCAACTAATTTAATCAAATTTGAGACTTGGGCATATTGACAGTTTTGGTAAATTGAAACCAACTGCTGAAGGCATGAATTTACTTCATAAACATCATAAACATTTATACATGTTCAAACAATCTTTCACTGTACAAACTTTCCTCCATGTCAGGCTTCCTCGATTCCTAGCTGCTTTGCCAAGAATAACAGGAAATGTTTTGTTGTTGTGTGCTTTTACCAAATTCTACGGCTTTGCTCTGTTCTTTGAAGTCATTTAGAATTGGAGATCTGCCATTATTCCTCTGGCACTGTGCAAATGCTACGGAAGATGACTAACGAAAATCATGCGTTTTTGCAGCGTCTCGTCTTGCAATTAATAGTGCCCACTGCTATCGAGTTAACAGGCTTTTCAGTCATCCCTGATGAAGACCATGCAGCATGTCAACATGCAGTAAAATTGACTTGAAGAACGACAGGGGACTTTAAATATTGCATGATCTTTATGCAAATGCGCATCCCACACAGAGTTTAGAGGAATAGCTTACAAAAGAATGAAAACTGTATCAATTACTCACCCTCAGGTCATTCCAAAACCATATATGGCTGTGTGGAACAACAACAGCAACAACAAAAAGATAGGTCTTCAAATAGATCTTTCATCTGTCAAGATCCAAAGAGGGCAAAAAAACACTATGAAAATGATATCTACAAATGCATTTAAGTCACTCTGTGTTCAAGTATATATACATAGAGAGAGAGAGAGAGAAATTAATAAGTTCAAGTTATGGAAAAGAGCAGCTTGGACATTCTGTAAAACATCTTCTTTTGTGTTCCACGCAAGAAATCAAGTCATACGAGTTTAGATTTTCTCTGATTTACTATTCCTCTACCTATATTTGACATGGCACAATTATATTTATCCTCATTATGATTAAGTATTGAGATTGTTGATTACCTTGATATGTAAAATTAAGTGCCATGTTGACATTGGGGCTTGAGTTTACTGGCATCACTTCCCTCCTCCATCCCGGCAATCCCAGCAATTGGTTGGGGGGGGGGTATGGGGGGATTGGGGTGGCAGACTCGCACTCTGTCTGACTTTCAAAGGGCCCCGCTTGGCGCCTTAGTAAATTTATGGCATTCTGTCTGCTCCATGAGCAGGGTGTTGGGCCTGGCCAAATTCGAGAGTAATATGGATGCTGAGTCTAATTGCCAGCCATCCCCCTTAAAGTCCTCCTCTAAAATGTCTCAAATCAGTCCAAGCTGCTTGTCATTTAAATGCATATTAACTGTTCTCAATGGAGTTGGAGTTTATGTGTTCCAACCCTTCACCCCATTGAAGTGACTACCAGGTGAAATGGTTATGATATTCCATTTCAGGGTCCATCCAATTGTGGGATGCGTCATATTTGCCTATTACTATTAGATGCTTGCTAAGGTGTTCTGGATGCTTGTTAGGACATTGATAGGTGGTTGCTAGGGAATTTGGGGTGGGTACTAGGGTGTTGCAAGGCAGGTTGCTAGGGTGTTCCGGATGATTGTTAGGTCATTGCTAGGGTGTTTTAGGTGGTTACTATTACAATTTAAATGAACTCTTTTCTATGTAAATATATTTAAAAATTAAATTTATTCCTATGATGCAAAGCTGAATTTTCAGCATCATTACTCCAGTCTTCAGTGTCACATGATCCTTCAGAAATCATTCTAATATACTGATTTGCTCCTCAAGAAACATTTCTTATTATTATCAATGTTGAAAACAGTTTTGCTACTTAATGTTTTTGTGGAAACACTCAGGACATTTTTTCAGGATTCGTTGATGAATAGAAAGTTCAAAATAACAGCATTTATTTGAAATAGAAACTGTTATAATATAAACATTTTTATCAATGTAACTCATTCTTGCTGAATTGAAGTATTAATTTATTGGAAAAAACAACAACTTTTGAACGGTAGCAGTGTATTAATATTCTGTACCATAAGCGTATATAAAATAAAAAAATAATCCTATTAAACACTCAATACCATCAATACCATAAAAACAGCCATAAAAATACTTGACTGACTCAAAATGCTAGAGGTGTGTTCAAATCCATTATTCAACGTTCCACATTATAAGTGCATATGAAACGCTCTCCTTGTCTAGACTGAAAAATGACACAGTTTAATGAATGTGGTAACGATGGGGAAAGCATAGTGCAACAGTGTACGTTTATAAATTCATTGCGCTGTGCGAATTTGTTTTCATAAGGTCTGCGTCTTAATTGAAGAACAACTAATCCGTAACAAATAAACTCTATCCGTCGGAGCCGTTGAGGATTGTATTGTAGACTAGCGTTCGGGTTTTATTCACGCAGTTGGAGACTAATTAGCTCTATATGTCAGATATTTTGCACTGTTTATTTTCGAAGCATTTGTTTAAATGAAAATGTGTAGCTGTGAGTTTGGATTTAATGACATGGGCCTGAAGTTTAGATTTCTGTTTCTTACTAATTTATTTTTGTCTAGAAGAAAGTCAGCCTGTTTACCTCGTCATCTTTGCTCCGTTGAAAGGAATTAAGTGGCTTGAAGAGCCACTTGAGAGGACATATTTTATCATAGAGCTCTTTTCAGAGTATAATGCATCATTTCCTCCAGAACGAAACGTCCCGAACAAAGGAGCAGTGTACAACACCTAGTTATTATCTCTGACGCAAACCCCGAGATTATGTTGTTCTTTTTTTTTTTTTTATCACATTGGGTACCACACTGTCCCTTTACCGTGCACATCTTAAAGTTCCCTCTGCCGTCTCATTTTACCCAGACACCAGGACTATGACTTCATCTCAGGAACCCGCATGCGGAGGATGGCTCGCGAGGGCCAGAACCCTCCGGAAGGCTTCATGGCACCCAAAGCCTGGAATGTTCTCAAGGAATACTACCAGTCTTTAGAGAAGGCCTAAGCTGTTTTCCAGGTGTGGAGAGAGGTGGAAGCAATTCTGTTACAGGGAAAGGAGGAGGAGGAGGTGATCTTGGTTTGTAAAAAAAACAAAACACACACACACACACACACACACACACACACACACACAATGATTGAACACTGGGACCACCCAAAGGACTTCTTGCACTTTTTTGGATGTTGTTCCTCATTAAATCACTCTCAGTTTCGTAGTTATGAGTCTTATGGCAGCATTTTTATATGTTTGGTTTAAAAAAAAAAAAAGCAAGTTAACTTGTGAAAGGTACTTTTTAAGTATTCAACACTGTAAAGATAGAAAACTAAACTGTTTTATTAGCAAATTATGCCATCTCTATTCTTGTACACTCCATAATCGCTGTTACAATTAGATGAAAGATGACGTGTAATTTGAAAATTACACTTGCCTTAAAGAGCTTTTATCGAAACGGTTACATTTACAGCATTGTTCTGGCTTTAATGCATGGTCAGCTCTATTGACAGCATTTATGGCATCTTGTCAACATAAATACAACAGAAAATACATTTCTTGTTCTTTACAGCAGAAAGTCAGTAACGTTTTGCTCAATATGTGCAAGAATAAAGGACTTTTTGCATGGAGAAATATCAAAATAGAAGAATTGTGACAGTAAATCAGACGTTTATCTACCTAGAACAGTAGTCCCGTTGCAAAAGTGATTATTTAGATAATTAAATGATGTACATATAAATATATAAGTGCAAAATACATTGCCAGTATGTTAATAATGCAAACATTTTTATTTTTTTTTTGCTTTACCATAAAATAATTTCAACCTGTTTAATTTTTAATCAGCATTATGCCACAAATGCTATTGATAGAGCTTAATGTACTGAGCAATGAGCAATCCTTGAAGCCAAAATGTGTGCCTGGATGGGACTATATACAGTTATTGTGACGGTTTATATGTGACGGTTGATATCATTAGAATAAAGCCTGTTGTTTTATTCAGTGATTATTCAGCAAGGTGTGGTGACAACAGTATATCCTTTGTGTTGGTTTTGGCAATGGTTTACCCTAGAATCTGGACAATTGTTTAAGGAGCTTGCTTGCAAAGCAGCAAAATCTGTGACGTTTGTCCTTGGAAGTTACTGGCATAACTTTAATAGCTTTTGTCTAGTCTAACATATCTAACCATAGTGTATTGATATTTCTTTGTTTGAATATAGTGTTTTGTTAAACAAAACTATTTGGCTTTGTCTTTAGGTGCATTTTTTGTAGTATTTATTTTTATGACTTTTTGTGTTTATTGTATTAGAATAGAAAGGCTATCAGGTAGACGTTCTTCAGTTTACAATTCTTAATTGTCCTGTTTATTTTTAACAGCATTGTCCTTCTTACCTCAGTGTCTTTAATAAACCATTCCACCAAAAATCGCAAATATCAGCTAAATTGATATTTAAAGTCGGTACTCTCAAACAAGTTGAAGACATGAAAATATGAAAAGACATGAAAATCACTGATCATAATGTGCATTTTCCCTAGTTCCCGCAGTTAAACAGTGCCGTGTGCAACTGCTGTACAAGGTCAACGAAATATATCAGAAAATACACACAGAGAGCCAGCTGGCCTCCAGATGCAGTCGCGCCCCAGTGAAAGTGGGACACCTAGGGTTAATCCAGACTCTTTCAGGAATACCCTACCCTCTCCTTTGAATCCAGTTTGGAGATGAAATGTCTGAATGTGCCAGCCGTCATGTTTTTCTCCATATGTCCTCTGCCAGATCTTGTTCGATCTGTGATTTTGCGTCGAGTGGGGCCTTCAACACGAGCGAGTAGCACTTCAATATGAACATGAAGTGAACGTGTGCCTGGGTATAAAGTTACAGTTTCCCTCTTCATTCCTGTGGGATTACTTGAATTATTTCGTTTGAGACACAAGACTAGCCTTATACCTTTATTAAATGTGCCAGAACAATTTCAATACAAGGGCGCCTAATTTATCTTTGTTCTTATAGCATTCAGTCAATCACGTAACTGCGTATGTGTATGATAAATGATCCCCCCCCCAGCAGTGTCTTTTAAAACAGGCTTTATTAATACTGACAGACAGGGAAGCAGCTCTCGGTAGCACCTGGTTCTTGTCTTTGCCGCACCGCAGTAAGAGCCTCGGCCCTTTTGACCTTCCCTCCAGTGCTGAAAATGCAAACCAACATAAAGGTAAATGCAACAAGTCATGTGGAAATCATTACAATATCCTTAACGCATAAAGATGGGTAGTTGTTTTGAAAGGTGATGGGGAAAGAATTATTGTGGTACAAATATTTGTTGTTGTTGTTGGCAATACACATCTTTGTCAGGATAGAATGTGTTTTCCTGACAAATAAATATACGTTAGAGTTTATTTCTAAGTATACAAACTCCAGACTCTTGGACCGTACAACAGACAGTTCATGTCTTTTTAATATCTCAAACCTTTCCAGTTCATAGGTCTTGACTGCATCTGACAATATAAATCGTACAACAAAGTCAAAAATGTTATCTACCGAATTGATTTGAAGCTCATTAGAGACCAAAAATAATTATCAAAATGGCTAATTATTACCAAAATCTTATTTTGCACACAAACACATGATTTTTGTCCTCTTAAAAAAATGGAACATTTCATAAAATTGTGACACCCAGGAAGGGACATCATTTGGACACTTTTTCTACATTGTGGTGGGAAGGCAAGTTGGTAATCCCATTACATTTTCTCAATCCCATTAGTTTTTAAAGAAATCGTAGTTGTCAACTCAGCCATTCAACACTGTCAACATCACTGTAAGAAAAAATTTGACTTTTAATTTTATTTTATACTGTATAGTATTATATGGTTCTAGCAATGTCAAGGTCATGGGTTCACTTCCCAGGAAATGCATGATTTAAAAAAAAAAAACTGTATACCTTCGATGTAATGTAAGTTGCTTTTGGATATTAGTGTCTGCCAAATTAATTATTTTATTTTAGATATTAGAGATTGAAATTATTCATATTTTGATTGTTCATTTACATGTTTTGGGGGACTTAAACTTTTGAAAACATGTTTCAAAGTGCAAATCGATACCGTTATTGTCTCTGTGTAAACTACACAAATGTGAATTTGTGAAAACAGTGACGTCTTGTGCTTGCGTATTACATGTTCAGACTATAGGAATGTGTAAGTGCGCAGGCGCGTAATATACACCTTGACCTCCTGAGTGTATAACCATTTTCTGAAGATTATGCACCTTGTTTCTCTTACTCTTTGTTGAAAAAGAAGTAAAATTTTGCCTGAAACTTTTGATTCCCATTTTGTACCCATGTGTGGAAAGTGCCCGCTAACTCGCATGCATTACCGCACATCCTCCACGACTAATCAGTGTCACCACTCCATCATGTGACATCATCGCCTGTACCGGTAGATTAAACTGTTACATGAAGCCCAGACACGTTTTTCCCTTCCATTTCCCCTGCATCTGCTTTTACTTCCATTCAAAGCCATCCATGACAAAATCTGCGTCCTATAAAAGGACAATAAAGCTGGGTTATTATCTTGAACTGCAACTAAAACTAAAACATTTCCTGTTAATTGGAATTAATCTGAAATAAAATCAACAAAAGCTTAAACGAAACAAAATTTAGAAAATTAGAGTTGCCTTGCCAACTAACTGAAAAAAAGTTTAAAGGGATCATTTAAACACAAGATTAAACACAAAAGAAGATATTTTGAAGAATGTTGGTAACCAATGAGTTGATGGTAACCATTGACATGGAATGGAATTCTATGGAATTTAATGGCTACTGTCAACTGTTTGTTTACCAACATTCTTCAAAATATCTTCTTTTGCGCTAAAAGGAAGAAAGAAACTCGTACAGGTTTGGAACATCTTGAAGGTGAGTAAATGATGACAGTTCACCCAAAATCTCTTTAAGTAAAACTAAAACTGAAATAAAGTAAATTTAACATGAATAATAATATTGAGAAAAAAATATGAAAATAAAAGATAATTCAAAATATGAATAAAAACTATAATAGTATATAATTAATACTAAAATAACAGGAGACTCGAGCTTAGCTCCTGGTGCTTTATTAGAAACATATGTGACCCTGGACCATAAGGGTCAATTTTTTGAAATTGAGATTTATACATCATCTGAAAGCTGAATAAATAAGCTTTCCATTGATGTATGGTTTGTTAGGATAGGATGATATTTGGCCGAGATACAACTATTTGAAAATCTGGGGAGAATCTGAGGGTGAATCTGAGGGTGCAAAAAATCAAAATATTGAGAAAATCGCCTTTAAAGCTGTCCAAATTAAGTTCTTAGCAATGCATATTACTAATCAAAAATTAAGTTTTGATATATTTACGGTAGGAAATTTACAAAATATCTTTATGGAACATGATCTTTACTTAATATCCTAATGATTTTTGTCATAAAAGAAAAATCAATAATTTTGACCCATACAATGTATTTTTGGCTATTGTTACAAATATACCCCAGCGACTTAAGACTGGTTTTGTGCTCCAAGGTCACATATTACACATTCTTTACCGACTAGATGTTTGTTGAAAATCTTGTTTTTAAAATCCTCCTCAATATTACCTGTATTTTTCTCATGTGCATTATATTTGTGATGAAATGAGAATGTTTACTGACATTCCCATGGGATTTTCATAGCTTATATAAATATTTGCTTCGTTCCACATGTCTTTTCCTGCAACGTCTGATACTTGAGACGTCAGTCACAAACATTCATGATTTTCAGTGACTCTGAAAATTTTCAGATCCTTTTCCTTTCGATTTGGTTTGGCATATCTACAGATATTAAAATCTGAGATATAGGACATTACCTCAGATGTGAGGGGTTTAAAATGAAGAGATCACGTGGATAGAGGGGTATCATACATCAAATGCTACAGCCTGGCATGTTCACATCAAAGAGACGCATCTGAGGACTCGAGACATACTATTCCAGTCCCATGAGGCAGCGAGGAGGAGAACATTACAGTCAAGCCTCTCGTGCACCTCATCTTGTCCTCGTTCACCGTCTGAGTGTCTTCACATTATATGGCAGCGCTCCATCCTCATGCCACCTACCTGGGTAAGTGAAAGTGATCTTTGTCATTACGAAAAGATTCAAATTCAGTCATCTCAGTATCAGACAGCACGCCTAAAGGCTTTTCACAAACTAAATTATGCCTATTCTATTTTTAAATGACAGGAGCTGTTGAAATCTGCTGTTTCCAGAAGTCAGGAGTCAA